TGTGAGTTGGCTGTTATACGATACCTTTAAATTGTATTATTTTCTACGAAACAATTGGAATATCATAAGAAAACTAACGCATAAAAACAGATAATTTATTCAACTTTAAGTTATATAATTACAATACAAGATTAATTCTCATTAATTCAAATTTAACAAGTTGCGCCATCACACTGCAGGTTAAAGAGAAATAAAACGAAATTGTGTTGTGAGAGTCATGGTAGGGCCCTGTTAAAATTATAAGATCTGAGCCCTTACCAAATAAGTACTTTTTTTAGTTAGATTCAGAAATTATATTGTTTTTAACAATTCTAGTAAATAATTAATAATTATTAACTATAGTATTTATAGAAAAATACTTTAAGCCATGGAACACACGGACGTTATTTTATCATGCGACATTTTTACCGCACAAAAAAAATCTATTGCGCGTTTTAATTTATACCAACACTCGAGCGTTTATTAACGGGACGTTTATTTTAAGGTATCCACGATATTCATAAAAAATATATATATAATTACAACTATGTATATTTACTTGTCTATAATTTAAGTTTTAACTAGACAACAAAATCATGGCAGATGAAAATATTATTTTGTTTTTGGGTTACCAACATTATATTAAAAATAAAAAAAGTTAATAGAAAGATGTGAGTACATTCAGTGAAATTTCTTAATTATTTCAAGTGTTGTTAAATTTGTATCTAAGAACACGACTTTTAGGAATCGATACTATGAGAAAGAGTACGAATGAAGAAATATTGAAAATAAAATAATAATCGATCGTGCGTTTTATTACTACATGTGTGTTCTCTACCAATCATAATTATAATGCATTTCGACAGGAATTCATATCGCGCGTTATTTTTAACGTGTGGTAATCTGTAAAGTCATGGTCCACGCAACAATTATCGAAATGTCGCAGGTTAATTTTACGGCACGGTATTCATGTGTTATGCTCTATTAATTTTAATGTTTTCAACAAAACAAGCCGTTTTAGTATTATATTTCACTATCAGTAAGGACTGTCCATCGATCTTTAGTAAATAAATAGTTTTTAATATACGTGCATTACGATTTAAAGAGTTAACAATAAAAACTATAAAATACTTTCGGATATTATTCATACTAGTAATACTAACACTAATAATAATCGATCATGGGGCATTTGTGAAGTGAAAATAAACTGGAAAATATATTTAAAAATAAGTCATACAGTTACAGTTAGATTACTCGAAACTAAAAATCAAACTCTTATGAAATCAATGGCGATTGCAAATAGTATTAGTTTAATGATATTTAAAATAATTCATACATTATGGTGTATGGACAATTTTTAAACCAAAAAAATAAAAATTCAGGTCTGATTTTTCCATTTATGTCAGTAAGTATAAATACAATATCTAGTATTAACTAAAACTTTATTTAACATATTTTCTATGTGACTCTGCAAAGTGCCTTATAACTTAGCTTTCTAGTTATTAATTAATATTTATTAATAAATAATAATATGAAAATGTCTAATAATATTGTATTCAATATTATATAATTTAATAATTTAAAATTACAAATTTCAGTCAATATTTTAATGAAAAATTCAACTAGCTTATGCAGCTCATATAGCTGGTAGCTTCACAATTATCTTATAAGCACAAAATATAATAAGCTCAAGATATTAATTTTTTTTTTTTAAATACATTTTTATTAACTGGAGTATTGACAAAAAATATATATTTTCATTATGTTCTTTGTAAATATTTAAGATTTGAGAAACATATAATACTGATCAATTGGAAACAATTAAATTTATATCGGAAATATTTCAACAACAACTGCCTATGCTTGACAGTTAAATTTTTAAATATCAGTCAGATCGTTCGGATTCGGATGATTTGGACTTAAGCGTTGCATACGCTATGATTTCTATTTATTGATAACGTAACATTATTATCTATTCAAAAATCTCTGTGCATAAATTATTTAATGTTGCAGTACATCAAGTTATTCAAATAGTTTACAATTGTTAAAAAACAAAGCTATATTTTACCAATTTGTCATTAGATAAATTTTGATCTATATATTTTTGAAACTGATGGTTTTGGAATATTAATACATCATTTTACTGACTAATTATATTGTGTAATCGAAAAATGAGCACTTAAAATAATTAATTTTTACACATTAGATACAATAATAATTATAGTAAACCAATAACCGTCAATATTTAACAGTATATCATCATTATTTTTTATTTATTTGTAATTTGTTTGGAAACACATAAAATATAGTATGTATGCGTGTTACGGAAATACGGCCTGTTTGTCAAGTAATTTTTAACAAGGCTGTTTCATTTGATACGAGGTTATAACCGACTTGTCTATTAAAAAAACAAACACATTTGAATGACTAACTATTTTATTTGAAAAAAAAAATAAACATAAAGTTCTTTAGCCTAACATCCTGAAAAATAAGAACATATTAATTTTAAAGGGTAATACTTAGTATAAAAATTTCGAATTTTCAATTGAAAATTGTGAATAATAAAGTTTTCATTTTCTAAAAAGTCTGAGTTAAAAATTTTGAATTCGGGATGCCAGGATTTAGATTTATGAACTTGAAAACAGTGAAAACCGTATCATTGCACAACAATGAAATATGTTAAAGAGGAAAGATTATAGGCTACTTGAATCAGTTGAATCAGTGATGAAATAATATTTAAGATTTATTTTGTTGTTATATTCTGCTTTTACATTTATTAGTTATGTCTATCATATTGTGTCATGAACCATGATATACTTTACTCTTTACAAGAGTCAAGAATAGTTTTCATATTTCATGCATTAATTAGCAAGTACTATTAATTGTTAGTTTTAGTCTTATTTTACTAATAAGTAATGACTTATATTATTGAAGTATTAAAATGCATAAATTAAAAATAAAATAACAATTAATAGTTTATAATAAAAATGGTTTTTGCGAATTTAAATGGAAACAGTCTATTAAAATAACATAACTGATATCATTCCATACATTTATTCAACAACCCGCTAAGGTAAACATGTCATCTTATGTTAACAGAGAAATGGAATAAAATTTATTAAATTAATTCTCTATATAAATTTGATTGAAGTAAACCACCACTCAAAAATATTAGAGTTTGTATATCAGTTAATGGTAAATTTCGGTATGAATTAATTAGTTAATTCCTAGTCAAAACGAATCACTACATATTATATACTATAAATATTATGTCATAACACATTAACAACTAATGAAATTGAAAACATAAAACCCTATTGTGACTCTTTGAAGTTATTTTCTTTTATAATTTTGGTTTAAATGCTTACTTACGTGTTTTTGTAATACCTGTTTAATCGAAAACGATTTAAATGTTTAAACGTAGAATGAATATCGGAAATACACTATGAATCGTCGAATTACTAGAAAAATGTGTACAAAGTAATTAAGTTTTGAAAAAATTTAAAACTGTGTAAATAATGTCTAATATGTGACTATTAAAATCAAGTGTTGGTTTGCAACGTATTTACCATGGTTTATCTACTCCGTGATGTGGTTTACCGTGGTATAATATGACAAATTGGAACCAATCAACCAAAATAAAAAAGACGCTCGAATCATAATATAATATTATACAATAATATTATATCTTCACATCACAAAATTGGAGGATACAGCATGAACGGTGAACTTTTGTCAGTACAATATGGAACAATACCTAATATTATGTACTTATTATATACTATTTATATTAATACGTAAATGATGTTGATTTATTGTCGATGGTATCTTTTGATTTTTTTTAAATACAAGTCCGACGACATTTTTTGCGATGCGGTCATCAGACGCACTTGCCTGTACAGCCATCGTTAGAAACAACGTCTTAATCGAAGAAAAAATAATGAGGTACTACTGTTTACGTATCATAGTTTTGCATGTTTTTTCTAATCAAAAATACCGTAATTATGATTATTTATCCAGAAATTTATGTTTATAAGAAAACAATTTTGCCGAAATTGTAATAAAATAAGATTTTTGTTTAGCAAAATCGCTGTAACCACAGTTTGCTTAGAAAGATTGCCGTAAGTTTTGTTTAAAATACGACGTTATTACTTAGCACTTCCCCATAATCTATATTTACGGCGTTGTTGTTTAGGAAACTGGCTGCCATTAAGCCGTATCTTATATATTTAATTTTAAATTACTGATAATGTTTGGAATTTCGATGTCATCGCAGCACACACATTAATACATTATATTTCGTTCAGTTATCGATGTACCTTCTCGCGAATATCTTTACCTACATATAGTATTTATTTTTGCAATAGATACAGGAAATATTATTTATGATTATAACCTAAACATACCTAAGTGTTATTTGTGGTTTATCAGAATCAACAACTTTAACTCAAAAATACTTTTTGGATGGGATTGAAGAACTCATTCAAGGTAAAATAATAAAATTATTACTTAAAATGAATAATATTATGTAAGGTTTTTAATTCGAAAAATAAAGAATTGGGTGTATCTAATTTTCAGATAATAATAAATCTATTATATATATATATATAAATTACTTATTTATATAGATGATGGTATTGTGGTTAACAATGAAGTAAAATACACTTTAATTTATTACTATACCCACTACACACTATCATGGTCATCAATATTCAGTGCATTAGTGTATTTTCAATACATAATAGATATAGTACCTATTAGTTTTAAAACGGTCTAAAAATTATAATTTAAAATTAATATCATGTGATTTTAGCATAACTTATCAATTGATAGTGATTTACAACCTGCATTTTTATGGAAAAATGTAAAATGACACCGCTGTCGAATACCATTGAATCCACGAGATCATATTATTATAGTATAGTTGTTTGAGTATAAGTGCTCGTAATTTGTAGATAGTACAATATTTTTATATTATACTTGTGCTATATATATATGTGTTTACATGTGCGAGCGTTTACCTGTGTGCGTCCTTCACAATACGTCAGAAATCCACCCCGTGACGCGGTTTTCGGTACACTGCCGATCGCGCCGCATTGTATACAATATGCCACCGGTAACACACACATACGCGCGCTCGTGCGACGGATTTAATGATTTACAGCGTAGCAACCGAATGTAGTTAAGACAACAATACACATCATTCGACTCAACTACCTATATATTATATATGTATATATATATATATAATATATATACATATATAAGTTAATACTTAATATTATTGGTTTCGCCGTATACCTATTACCATCAAAATCGTACACACACACACTCACGCAAGTCCATAACGCGGCTGAAAGTTTCTAAATGACATTACACTATAGGGCCTATAGTATAGACATAATATTGTGTTATTTGTACCAACATGTTCTGCCGCTCCCCACCACAAATTATAAGTCCTATTCCTATGTAAAAAGTAAAGTTCAAACCCAAATTATTGACCTGGTATGCTTCACATGGATAAAGGAATAAGTAGATATATTATAATATGTACCTATACATAATAACATCAATAACTAATAAATAAACAAAGTAATCTGTGTATACACAGTGGAACATATTGTTATGATATTATGTATTCTAAATTCTTGGCTAAATATTATGTACAATTATTATAAAAGTCGACTGACTTACGTATCTATACTACTTAACTTCGATTTATAAATATTATGAAAAATCCACATTTAACTTAAATAATTTTTTCATTATTACAATAGAATATACTATTTATAGTGAGTATAATTACTATATTTTAGTTATAAACTAATTTATATTATAAAATTAATGCTAAGTGTATACAACTATAATAGCAATGCAAACACATTTGTAAGAATATAGCATATTATAGAGTTAAACTCTCTCCTAAGAAATTTAACATCATCAAATAAATCACATTTTTTAATTTAATTTTTATGATAATAGTTTAAATATTTATTTTTAATTTGACATATATTTGGTATTTTGAAATACATTTCTTGGAATTACGAACTTGAGTTTTATATGAGTAGTACTGTAGTAGCCAGTAGGTGTTGTATTTTACTAACTTTTTAGGTTTAATGAGAACAAAATAAATAACAAATGTGTATGAAACATGCCTTGTGTATATTATAAATATATGTAATAAATTAGTAAATTATTAATTATTATATAAACATATTATTGGTAAAAATCAATTTTATATCATATCCGTCAGCGAATTTAGATTTGCCACGCCACGCAAAAATAAATTACCATAAAGACGTATTTCAAAATTTAAATGGAATACAAATTATCATCGATTGAGGATAAAAACATTATTTAATAATGTTGTAAAATTTATTTTGAAAATTATTTAAAAAGATAACAACCATAGTTTTCTACTATAGAACTATTTTCTAAATTTTGTTTCATAGTTGATTACAAAACGACTAAAGGTACCTAAGTTAAATATAAATTTATAAGTTTAACATTCTTATCTTTCAGTTTGATAATAAGTCAATTATTACCCATTCTCTTCAATGTTAAAAATAAAAGTAAAATTAATTCTTCTGAACGTAAAATTTGCTAATTAGCTTTACTTAGTAAGGCATAGATAAGAGACAACATATTATATGCGTACAACAACGTCCATGGATGGTGGATAATTAATGTAAATATAATGTTTGGATTATATAATAATTATATTATGTATTATCAATAATTATAATTTATAACCAATGGGGTATTATCTTACAAATTACAGAATATTAGAAAAAATAATTCGATAAAATAAAACTTACCTTTCAATATTAGTTGTTTGTTGTAATTCAGATATATAGTACCTATAATAACTATATAATATTTATATCTCGTGCAATAGTTAAGTTTTATAGATTTAGATAGGAAAGAGTCTCTAAAATTTCTTTACACTTAAAAATATTTTATTTGTATCTAATACCTAAACACATACTTTTATTGAAAATAAGTTGACTCGTTAAACTTGTCCAGTTGTGAATATAATAGTAGAATTACTAGAAAAAATCGTTTTATTGCATAATTTGGCACACACACACACACACAGGGCGGTTCCCGTATGAGTTTACACATTAACTACATTACCTATGATATGTAAATCGGTCAACTCCCATTGAATTTATTAGATTCTTTGTATTATAACAAAATAGATTGAATTAAATTACTTTGAATAACTGTAGTTATATTATTGTAAAAATAAATTGAGGAAGTAAATTCGATCAGAAAGAGAAAAATTGATAGGTAGGTATACCTATATATAGTAGAATAAATAATCTCGTTACTTTCATTATTTATTGTTGAAATAAACTTAACAATTATCATTCGTAATTACTTATTAGTTATTACATAATTGTATAATAAATACTTAATTAAATGATATTATGATAACAAACCTGTTTTATCGGTGTTCTCTTTGCTGAATAAAAATTAAATAAAAGTGTATTCAATTTATACTTGAAATACTTTTTTTTTCATATAGTAACACAAAAATTAATGTTATCTTTACACTCTATATACTTAACTAGTAACTTGGTAAAGTACTTCAATAAACTTTCATACTTAAGCAGATGCCATCTTTGCTAATATAAAAAGTTGTCATTTTTAAGTTATTTATTACAAGTCGAGATCTCAGCAGTTGTCGAGTCTATACTAAAATATGCATTAATTTCAAAATTAAAGTATTAAATTGTTGTGTCTTCAGATGAACCTTCAACAAAAAATGTTTTCTTTTTTAACGTTTGGTGCCGGATTGAAAGTTCTTAATATTACTTTCAATCCATAATTTTAAAAAAACTCATCATTTTTATCTATACACTACATAAACAAATAATATCTATATTTTATGAACAATTCATTTAAATCATAAGAATTGATAGTTTAATATTATTAAATTACACACAAAATTATGATATTATAAAGTATGGCTATAAAGTAAACAAAGTATAGCTAAAAATAAAAATAGTATAAATTAATTACACGTCCATTTGTCTGTTCTACTTCTTCTGCCATAATCACTCCAATTATATAGTATGTAGATTAAACTCAATTGCTTTATCTGTTATCTATAAAACTATGATGATAAATTGTGATTGCTTGAAAGTAAAACACTCCCAATATTTTTAAAAATAAAAAATATTTTTACACAAAATCTACACTTATACGAGTTTTAATAAAATTGATTTTTTTTCTTTTGTTGTAATTCAAAAACATAAAACTGTAGACTAGAATTTTTCATAAACTATTTAATCTAGCATTTTCTTGATATGACACAGTTTTTAAAATATTTTACCTAAAATTATATTAAGTATTTAAAAGTATTTCAAATTGATATATAATAACAATTTTGTTTGTAATGATTGATGAGTAAAAAACTCACTGATTGAATATTTTTTTCCGTGTTTAAAAATAAACTAAATAAAAAATGTCAAATGGTTATAAATAACTCATAGTAAATAAAAAGTTGTTGAAACCTATACCGTGTAAAAAATATTAGTATAAACATTTAGTGAAAATGTCACGTTTCTTCGGACTACAGTAAGTTATTCGTATTGAATTATAATAACATAAAGAAATACATTTTTTAGAATACTATATAGTATAAGCTTATTAATATTATTAAAATATACGCTTCAGATAGTTTATTTATGTACTATAACTGGGTAATTTTTTATCAAATAATACTTGTTATTTAAAAATTTACCATTGTTTTAAACATTTTTGTTTACATTTCCAGTCGAAATATAACGAAATTTTTTAATGTAATAATATTTACTTTTTTACTTTTTTAAATGACAATAAATTTTTAATTTTATATTCTTAAGAAAATTATTTTTTAAGGTATTTGGATACATAAAAATCGTAATTTGCACGAGTATTTTGTGAATTTTAAGTATTTAAAATTTTGGTAAACGGAGTTGTAAGGTACGGAGAAAAATTTACCCTGCAAAATGTTGATCTACTACTTCTCCAACTTAAACTTTAAATATTTATAACTTCTTAACAACTCGATGTCTATATTTATCGAATTACTCCAAAAACACTTTGCTTCAGAATACGAAATTAAAAATGTATGTTGTCATTTAAAACAGTAAAAACTTAAAATTATAACGATAAACAATATAAAAATATATATATATATATATTTAAATAAATTTTATTTTATTTCATTTGGAAATTATGGAAAAAAAATTGAAAGCGTTTAAAGATTTTTAGATTATAAATGTTGTTTGATAAAATAATCGCTAAAAATAATACTGTATATCTTTCATACACCAATCATTGAATCTTACTCGCCATTAAATGATAGACCAATTGTCTCTTGCACCAATACCATCAAAAAAGAAGAATATATAATAGTAGAAGTGTCAATAGGTGGTAAACTGGTAAACGAGTTCATTCAACAGTTTGATACTATTGTTAAATACCTTAATATTATATCTTTAAAAGAAAACTTTGTATTATACTTTGAATAAAGGTTCAGAATAATGAAACAGGAAATCTATTCAATTTAGATACATTACTCGTATTGAAAGATTACATATATTTAAAAGTATTGAAACGTTGTAGATAATACACTCATTTCGCAACTTCAAGTCAATGAGGACTGATCTATCACTTAGCGAGCACTGAAAAAACGTTCATTTTACTAGTAAATATTATTTATAATATTTGTAAATTTTCAAATTTATTCATAAAAAATTAAATTAATTTTTTTCTTGTATTATAGAAGGTAATATCCCTCGTTATAAATTCTACCAACCGTGGCGTGTGAAGATGGATAACGATTCAAAACGTTTAAAACACAATGAATCATCGAGAATTAGTAGCTTAAAAAAAAAGCAACAAGAATTGGAATTGGAAAAAGAGAAAAATACACTAGAGAAGGTATTCATTAAATTAAAAAGAGAGATAAGACAACTACAGGCAATACAAAATAACAAGTAAGACAAAATATTAAATAATTTATTTTATATGTTATCAAAAATAAGATATGGACTTATTAGGTGTTTATTGTTTATTATTTTTTTTGCAATAGTTTAATTTAGTT